GAGGGGATAAGAGGGATGACAGGTGGGCGTGTTTTTTTGGTTCTGTTGGCGGGCGATGGTGAAGTTCGGGAGATGTGTTGTTTATTCTTTCATTATTTTCTTTAGAGAGCACATGGTGCCAGTTTGGACAGCGTTTTCATTTGTCTCCATACCGCGTTCAATAAAACCACAAAAGACAAACCAGGTGTTCTCCTCCTTGTTGAGCCAGGTGCCGGCACACTGCTGGCTAGTTAACTGTCAAATATAGGACAGGGTCAGGCCAGCTCCTCTCAACCGAGCCAGCGGTCGTCACAATACTTTGGTATAGTGATTAAACGTAAATCACCATGCATTTTGATGAAATTTCACAAGCAGATTTTTAGACATATATAAATTAATTCTACTTTCACTTCGGTGGCGATCATCAAAAATAATTCCCCAGGAAAATACCAGAGAACATGCAAGACCAGATGTGTCCCTGAGAGGATCAAATTAGCTCACGTAGTACATGAGAGGACATAGTAGATTAGATGATGTTAACCAGAGTGCATCGACAGAGTTTCCAAACAGTCTTGGTTCGGTCCAGTACTTGGTCTCCATTTTCTGGCCAAAGCACTGCAGTGCAGCTAATTTACAGTTCAACAGGGCACTCTCTGTTTCCATTTCTTGCTAGGCAATCTATTGCTAAACTGATGGCTGAAAAAGTTAGTTAATTTCACGGTTGTCAAGACTCAAGTCACGGCTACCGCGCCCTCTAGTGGTAACAAATCACATTTACAACTTTTGGGATTCAAAATCTAATTGACTTCTTATTGTGACCCGTTGCCCAGTTTTATAATGAATATCGGCACATTTTTGGATCACAACATATTGTGCCACAGTGCATTGTTACAGGAGTAGGCTTAAGATTAGTCAAAGCAGCAAACAGTAAATTAACGAGCAGGCAGAGGAAAGCAAACAGTTCAAACAGGGAGGAGACAACTCACCAGATTTATGGACAAAACAAGTGTCCATACACAGATGAGTTACTCAGTTCAAACATGGGCAGAACCAGGTATTGTCTTTTATGATGAGATGCTGTTATTACCTTTAAAATTAAAAATGGAACAGCAGTAAGTGTATGTTCAAGGACAGGGGGCATTTGTTAATGACAGACAAGTCAGCTTTTTCATTCATACTTTTTATGAACTTCCACATTTATGTTTTATGAATCCCTACAGGTCCGGTATTATTGACATATCTACAGATTAAGTTATCTTCCTATGAAGAACTCAGCAATGAAACCATCATTGAGTATGTTAAGCAGGTATGGAAAACAGAACACACAGAGCAACTTGTTTTGTAAGTTCTCTTCAGCCAGTTATTGATGATAATGCATTGACACAATATAAATAGTGGGGTGAAGAGAATGAGATTGATCTTCTGATGTTTTTCCTCTGTTTTCTGCCTATTTAGGCTTCTAACAACCTCCTGAATGGAACAGCCCACACCTTCACTGTGAAAAGCATTCAAAGGTTTCAAGTTGCCCCATAGAAGCCTCATGTGGACAGAAACAGGCTAAGGTGAAATTATAAGAACAGCATCTCAAGGTTTGAATACAGTGTGAAGGGGCAACCATTTCATTGCAACTGGAAAGAGATTATTCTTTTGACCAGTTTGAAAATGTCATTGTAAAACTGCTGTGCTGTGGTGATGTACGTCAACTCTCCAAACTACCAGAAGTACCTAGATTGTACTTTGGGTACAAGGTGAAAAATGTTTGGATTTTAGGCTCAGTCTTAATGTCTCTTTGCCATTGTTTTGTCAAATTCGAAAATAATTGCACTATTTGGATGTATCTTTATAATACAGACAACACAAAGGCAGAATGTAGAATTCTCCTTCTCTTTGCTTTCTGGCAGATTGTAAACCAATGAATAAGGTGCATACCACCGCCTACTGCATCGGAGTGTGTAGAGTCACCACAGTAAATTATCTGAACTCTTGGAATGAATAGAAAAAAAAAATCCCTTCTAAATACCCGAAATCCTTTCTTTGATCCCAATAGTGATTTTATACTCCACTCCTCTCCTGCCTCACACACAATCCCCATGAGTGTCTCCCTCTCTGAATTCTATTTATAATAATGCATAATGTGTCACTGGTGCAGAATTCCAGAAGACGAACAAAGATTTGACTGACTTTTCCCCCTTAAATGTAATACTGTTTTTATGCCTGCATACCCTATATTGAGTAAATATTACCTAGAGCTTCAGAGACTTGTAGAATCCATACCAAAGGTGCATTAAAGATGGTCAGGTGTCATGTTATGGCACAACACCTAACTTAGGCACTTTATATTGGATTGTCCTTTAATTTATTTAGTTAAGAAGTGTTGCACACAAAACACTGGCAACAATAACTTTGACAAGTGACTCCTGCCAAGTGTGATTGTTGTACCTCAAATCAGGGAAATGAATGACCTGTCAGAGTATTACTGCCAAAACACCTATTTAACATCAATATGTTGTTCTGTGACATTAACAGTTGGCCTATCAGTCAGTAATACACAATTAAATGTGCCAAAGAACGGGAGAGTGTTCATATAGAAGCTCAGTATATGAGTTAAATGATGTTTACCTGTTATCTGGCCCCAAAGAGCCCCACAATAAGCAGCACCATTATCCAGACCTAACCTACCCTTGACACAAAGCATCCACTCACCCAAACGAAGAGTAGATATGTGGCTTGTCGGGTGGATGGTATTGTGCTATAAGACTACAGACAGATATGAATATTAGTCCTTAAAGGTGTTTATTAAGTGTAACATTTTGTTTGTAGCTTTTACTTGCTCATTTCATCAGGGTCATTATCAAACTTTTAAAGTTTTTCTTGTCAAGAGACAAATCAATGTGCTGTGCCAATCTTTTGTGTTTTTTAAAGAATAATTAAAAAAAAAAAAACTTTATTCAGCATTTAATTTTAAAACATACAAAATAATATATACTGTACACTAAAGTGTTGAGCTCTGCCATAAAACATTTGAAAATACGAAAAGGATAAAATGAAAATTTTGCTTTTGAATGTGTAACATTTCCTTAACATATGAAAAGCTATTCTGTAAGTTTTTTTTTTTTTTAATGAAGATATGAAAGTGTATTTCTCTACAGTTTGTTGGGATAGCTATTAAAAGATTAAAACATTATTGATAAACTTATCTTGAATTATTTATCTGTGAGGGAAGTTCACTTTCCTGTACCTGGCAAAGAAGCAAGTAAAATATGTCAACACAGTTCATTCTCTCTAATCTACAGTAACCCTTGTATCATTTGCTCTCTCTCATTGTTATTCCCATGACCTAACATAAACTACAGTACGTGCACAGCTACTATTATACATCTGAATTAATAAAGCTTTAAAAACAAATAATACAAGCACTGGGGATGCCTCATCAGGTCACATGAGTGACTGCACACATACCAGCAATTGGACATCCCAACTGTGATGTGGCTTTCCTCTCAGTCATATTGTTTATATCCTGGAGAAACTTTTGAGCGCCACAAAGTCGGGTTCAGCATGATGTAAGGTACCCAGGGGGGTTTCCACTTTATAAACTTCCCTCTGCCTGCAAATATGCAAAGCCCAGGGCCTCGTGCACGGCTCTGCTCAGCAATGCCAGCAGATCAGTTGCTCTTGTTGCTCCCCTTGGCAGGAAGAGCTCCAGAGTGCAGGTTGAAGCGTGGGGCAGACGCACACTTGACATGCTTGCATCCTGAAAGAAAAAATGAAGCCAAGGTGAGGGAAATGTGACATGAAGACTTATCTCAAGACAGAAGGATACATAAGGAAGCAATGAAAGGTCGTTATCATTTATGTTATAGGTAACTGAATCTCTTTGAAAAAATTCACAACAGTGCAAGGTGTAACTCTTCTTTTCTGTAGTCATTATCTATAGATGCATCATGTTTAACTGTTGATATAATAATGTAGGAATAAGATCAGCCAGAAGATATTAGAATACATTAATTTGAACTTAACAGCTGCTGAGTATGGCAGATAATTTCACTCAAAATTCTAACTGAGTGAACACTGCAAAACTATTATTTTGTCCAACTGGGGATAAACAGGCTGTGATTTACTGTTAAAATAGCATAACTACTAAATGTGAAGTGATAGGGGATGTGAAATTCAGAAAAACCACCCATCACCCTCAGCTAAGTTGAGCATTTTAACGTCTATCGGCTCAATATTTTGGCTTTATGGCTCTAACTCTATAGCTTTGGTTCAGTTGGACTACTCTGATAAACACCAACCTGGGAGTAAAAATGCAGGGAGATATTTCTGGAGAGCCCAAAAGCAGGCAGATGATCAGCTCCTGTGATGAAGGCGAGGAGCTCCTCAAAGGAAAAGTCTGCCTGACCATCTGATTATGCACAAGGATAATTTATTTTAGTGTTCTCACACTACAACATGAAACACCTGAAGCAGAGTCTTTTTATTCCTCATGCCCGTCTTCCATCTGTCCCTTACCACTGATCAAGGTGAGGATTGTTTCCCAGTGTCTGACTGTGGCCTCCTCAGCTGCCCTCAGCTGACAGTCCATATGACTGTAACAGACAGTACAGAGCTGCTTGAACTCTTCCAGGGTGAGAGGCTTCTGCTGTGTGCTCGTCATCACTGGCACAAATGTTTCCCAGTGGCACTGTATCGTATCCCACAACCCACCACAGCTGTTCAGCCCCTCTGTAAACTGGGATATCATGCTGGCAACCCTGAAGGACAGCAGTACTTTCAAACATAAAATTACATAAATAAAATGATTAACAGAACAAGGAACTGAAGCACAGAGGGCAAAAAGTGCTAAAATAAAAGTTAAAACACTTAGCAAGCTTGTGCATGGGATAAAACCAAGTGTGTAATGTGAATGTGTGAACATGTATGCTATCTTTGTGTACATGTGAGTGCCCTACCTGTGGTAGATGTAGTGTTTGACCAGGCGGATATAGATGACTGGTATTTCATCAGAACGGGCTGAATAAATTCCAGGCATCCCACTGTTCACCACCCAGTCACACAGACTGGGGGACAGCATCTTCACATCAGTACAACTATGCAGCTGTGAGAAGAGCAAGGGAGTGTTATTTGTGTGTATGGATGTGCTTAATGGTGTACAAGCATACACTGCGTACTGTACGCAAACAATACTAGCTGCAAAATACCATGTTGCATACTTAATGCTGCAGAGTAGAGTGCAACAGATTAATTATAGCTATCCAAAGTAGCACTTCAGCCTTTAATCCCTTGATCCCTATCAATGCCTTCAGGTACAAATACAGATGAGTGTGTGTGTCCTACCTGTTGTAGTCGGATCCCATCTTCAGTGTTAACGATGTCTGTCCAGGTTAAGTGCTCCAAAGACAGATTTTGGCCACACATCAACTGTTAATGCACATTAAGAGAAACTATAGTGAGAAAGAGTTTTCTTTGAGCAGAAGCAATGAAGAAACACCCAAAAAAAATCAGCACTTAGTGCTAAAGCTGGAGACAACATTAAGAACCACAGCAACCTCTCACAATAGCAAGTGTCAACATAAGAGACACATGCACAAAACCTGGAAGAGTGCAGGGTGTAGACAACGAGGTCCAGGCCCACCCTGAGCCAGAGACCAGCCAATCAGAACTCCAGCTTTGTAATAGTTCCTGTCTTCAAGAGCTGTGAGGTCATAGGTGAAAAACAGGCGGCCTGGGTGACCTTCAAAGACCGAACTTTGCTGCAGCTCAAGAAGGGTCAACCTGTGTGAGAGGAAATTAAACAAAGTTAGTCGGGTGTATGATAGAAATCACTAATCCTAAAACAGCACATGAGTTCCAATATGAGGTAAATAATAAAAACCTGAAGAACTCTCTGAGAGGCCCCTCATGCCCGATGGTCTCCTCTCCAAGGAAAGAGATGATGGGTGTCGTCCTGAAGCAGAAACCTGGCCTCCCCACCACCTTCAGAGCGCTGTGGAGCAAATCTCTTCTCCTCACCTGGATGTGGGTTTCTACACCTTGATCTATGTTCTCCTGTTGGAACAGTCTCAGGATGGTGCCGAGGTCCAGTGGGAACTGCACAGAAAAAAAATAAACAAACCCATAAAGAGTTTTTTTTAACCTCTAAATATTTTTTGTTGACCAGCACCTTAGAGACCAATCAGTGAAATAATCAATTAAAAGGGCGCATCTATCGATAAAAGGTTAATTGTTTGATTAGAAACAAGAGAAAAGGTGTAGGTTATATTTATCCAGATAACAGATATTTACATCCTTCTTTTGATGAGTGAAATAAACTCACCTCCTCCATGGTCCTGTGCACGCGAGGCTGGATCTGTCCTCCCAGGTCTTCATCTTGGCAGCTCTCTATGCTGGCCTCCAGGAAAAACTCTGCCCTGGAAAGAGAAAACACACACATATACTGACTTTCAGATAATTCGCTATTAGGGTTTGGAATTCATCTTTCATGTTTTTAACAGGATGGGAAAGCCTTTAAGACTTACTGCTTTCTTACCTGTTCACCTCGGGTTTTTCTGTCTCAGGTTCTACCTGCAGGGGGTTTAATGTTCATTAGCATGGATCTGACAGCAAAACAGTATTTCCAACTGAGCCACTGTGGTTTACCTGAGGGTAGTCCAGGTGGCTGAAGATATACAAAGGTCCATGTCCAGAGATCCTGAGTACCTGCTGTCCAGTCCAACCCTCTTCAGGAGTGTCTGGGACAAACAGCACCCTGGAGCCCTGCACACACTGGAAAGACACATACCATCAGATATAAATATACCAAAATGTGGAAAATTTCAAAACAAGCCTGCTTATTTCCCACAGATTTTCTTAAACTCTTAAAAAAACTATAGCTAAAATTCTGTTTTATTAGATTTGTCAAACTGTCTGGAAGAAAAGCATCAGGTCCACCAATGGACATTAATGTAATGCTTGTTCTGAGATTATCAAGTTTGGTTAGATTCCAAATGAAATCATAAAAAATAAACCTTAAAATACTAACCATGCAGATAAATATAATCCAAATTATAATCTCAAGTTGTAACCCAATATATATTAATAAACAACTATAATGCCTGCAATAAAAATACACCTATCACACACACCTGTAGATATGTGAAGGAGAACCTTTGTCCTGCACATTTTACAAACTTGCCCTGGAAGAGCATCGCCAAGCGACTCGCCATCTGACTGGCTGACCAGCCAGAGTCGATGGTGATACGAGCACTCATTCCCATGGCTGCTAGAGCTTCTCGCTCTTCACCCTGTGGAACAGCATGCCTGGCGGGAGAGAAAAAAAACTGCTTTAGTGAGCACGGATTGAGCACGTTTAGCATATTTTATGCCAAATTGCCTGCAGATGCTGAATTGACATTGACAGCCCACTGATCCATCAGTGAGACCAGGAAGGACACAGATGGGACAGACGTCTCCAGTGGGGGACACCATCTCACCTCTCCAGCTGGGCCAGGAGTTGTCCTCTGGGCAGACAGATCACATCTTTGACCACCAGTCCTGTCTTCGGTGGAGTCAGTCTCTTCCATCTGAGACGCCTCGCTTTGTTTGGGAGCGGCTGCAACATAACACAGTGATGAAGTAAAGGTTCAAACTGGTGGGTTGGACGTGCTCCCACAAAGTTTGTCATCAATCAATAGAAAATAAATCAAGAACAAGACAATCTTGGGTTCTAACAATTTGCCAAGGACACTGATCCTCATTTTCTGACACTATTTTATGTGTAGCTAGTAATCAGTTAAAAAAAATCAATAAAACTCTTGATAAACTAATCAATACTGAATTCAGCCTAAAATAATACAAAGATAAGAAAGTGCAAGGCAAGCAAAACATGTGACAAATAAGCAAAAAAACAGCCATAAATAAAACACTCAAACATTCAGATACAGACCATGTAAAAAACAGTTTCACACTGTATATCATCAAATATTTAAGTAATTATATAATATCAATGATAAAATGCCAAGTAATAAATGATTGGCACTAATGTTTACAGACCCCATTTATCAAGAGAATCTGGTTTCATTCATTCTGTTTAAGTGTCAGTGAACAGGACAAAACAGAGACTGAAACCTGTGTGCCATTTAAATCCAGATAATCAGGAAATGACGAACATGATAAAACCTGAGGTGACGCACCGGGCTCACGATGGAAGGATCATCTGACTTGATCTCAACTAGCTCACTCTCGGTCACTCTGAGGGGAGGGAACACCTGCAGAGAGGGATGGAAAACAAGAAGGAAGGGAACAAAGAAAACGAGGGTTATAGAATTACCTCGGGAAATGCAGAGATCACATGTTGAACAAACCCACTCTGAGCCCTAAACAGAAACTCAGATGAAAAACTCACAGGCTTAAATTTCCTCACAGGTCTGTGTACCTGCCAGTGGGTGTAGCCATGACAAAACTCTTGATGACTGACCTTCATTTCTATCTCTATTTCTTCCATGAAGACTGGGACAAGGGGGCAGTGCTCAGTCTCTTCCCTGCTAGGGGGCACTGTTTTGGGCTTTCCCTGCTGTCTGGGTTGGGGTTCCTCAAAGTCAGGGACCAGAGGATGCTCTGGGTGCCTCTGGGTTATTCACAAGTGAAAAAGCAAAGATTAGAGACCAACTTGGTGCAAGTTATTTCTGCTTTCCTATCTTCTTTATCACCTTCAGACCACTACCATAGAGGTGTCTAGACATTCACTGGGGTTTTGACATATAAGCAAGTAGGATTTCTGCTGCTAGCTAAAAGACTAGGCATAATAATAATAATAATAATACAAAACTAAGTAAATAAATAAGTAAAATCAAATTGCAATTTTCTTTTGTTGCCATCTTACTGTTGTGGACCAGTTTCGATAACCCCTATGAAAACTACTGACAGTATGGTTTGTTCATTGTCCACAATAAGTTGGACGTTTGCATTTCAGAGACTTCTGTTCAGATGTACAATATTCAGCTCATTTGTACAGAAATGTTTAGCATAAGTATCAGCAACTAGGATCTCAAAAGCAGGGGAAATAAAACCAAACAGGAGTATGAGCAATGTGTTTATTGGTGATTTGGGTGAACTGACGGTGACTGAGTGTAATGTGACTGCCAGTAGCAATATTAGTCACAAGATGTTGCATTACTCTGCTTTTCGACCTTTGAATATTTTTTTCAAGGGAGACGTCTCTAACGTCAGGTGACAAAGGGTAACTTACGTGAGGGTACACGTGCACATGACCAAAGTCTTGACGTATGCGGTTATTTGTTGTTACTGAACACGATAGCAGTGATGCGGTGTCACACAAAACACACCTGGTGAAGGCGGCGTCCTCCCAGCTCCTCCTGCGTTAGTACCAGCACGCAGGGCTCCTCCGAGGAAAGCAGCTCCATCTCAATGTTTTCTGTGAGGGCCAGCAATGCCACCTTCCTCTCACCCAACCTCTTCCTCTGGGATGCAACAGAAACTCCTTTACCTCCTGTAGTTCTGACATTTTTCTGCTCTGCTGACCCTACTGTGTTGTTCTGTTCCGTGTCAGAACAGCCTCTACTTTGCTTTCCCATTATTTTGTGTTGTTTTATATCTGTTCTTGCATTAGCTTTAGCGTCTCCCCAGTTTTGCCCGATTTTCCTCTTTGCTCTCAGTCTTCCATGCCCTTCTTATTGTGTACATGCTTAGTACATACTCCCTCCCATTCTCTCTCGAGTGCCCCTAAACATTTGAGCTTCTAGCTTCTCCTTGCTGGATGGTGGCCCTACAAACAAACAGCTGAGCTCTATCAGGGGGTCAAAGCTCTGATGGGCTCAGAGTTACGCTCTCGAGATGTGATTGGTTGTGTGGGCAACTCTGAAGCTCTCATTGGTTGAGACGGTTCTGAACGATCTCCGATCGTCTTTGGAAACTAAATGTGACCCGAGTATTTCAATTATTAGCTTTCAGAGAAGTGTTTTCATCAGGTGGCTGGTGGGGTCAGTTGACAAGATTGAAAATACAAAAACAGAACTAATCCCATCAAACC